CGGGAAAAAAAATGGTGGCCTCGTTCTTTGGAAGGATAGGTCATTTTGCAACAATTGTGTTAGAGGATCAAAAAACAGTTTCTGCAGAATGGTACACTACCAATTGTTTGCCACTTGTCTTGGAAAAAGTTCGAGAGAAACGACCTCGCAGTAGGATCCTCCTTCACCACGACAACGCCTCGTCGCACACCGCCAAGCGAACGATCGACTATTTGGCGACATCAAACGTTGAATTACTGGGTCACCCGCCGTATAGCCCCGACCTCGCGCCTTGTGATTTTTATTTATTTCCAAAAATTAAAGGAAAACTTAAAGGAAAGCGGTTTATGAATGCTGAAGAAGCGGTGGCTGCGTATCGCGATGCCATTGAAGAGACCCCTAAGGACGAGTGGGCAAAGTGCTTTTCCCAGTGGTTCCATCGCATGCAGCGGTGTATTGACGTGAATGGACAATATTTTGAAAAGATATAATAAAACTAATAACTGGCTAATGTAATCAGTTTTTGATTTTCTAAGAACTTTCAGTTTGACCCTCGTATTTTTGAACTCTATTATATAAAACATAAATCAAAGTTTTATTTATGCGGAACCCTCGGTTCTACCCTCGTACTTTTTTTATTTCCCAATTAAATTTTACAAGGCATCCAAAATTGATAAAAATGCTCGCCCTTTTTTATTTGACATCCGGCTTTGAGAATATATAAATGGTATTGGGAGTGACATTATTTTTTTTTTTTGCAGTATACAATTATGCAATTCTGTAATAAAATGAGAGTCGCGCAGCGCTGTCGTAGATTAGAGCTTCTATGAAATAAAATTTTAGGTTTTATTTGATTGAACCTCTATGTGACAGCGCTGTGAAATAGAGTTTAAAGTCAACTTTGGTAATATTTTTTTGCGCCAAATAACAACCTTTTCTAAAGTAATTTTATATAAAGACTACTTTTGTTAATAATAATTTTTAGTTTTTGAATTCCTTAACTAAATGTTCTGAAGACAAGACCGATTAATAAAGTGAAAGAACTCTATGCTAAATGCAGTCATGTAAAAATATCTACCTAACTACTTAAAATGCAGAAAATTCGCAGGTTCTCACGATGTAACACTGGTGTGAAAATCAAGCTATTTAAAGCATACTGTCAGTTTCTACGCAGGACGTTTGTGGACACACCATTCCAAAAGATCTCTTGATACCCATCTTGTACAATATAATAATATCTTTAGAATACTATTGGCTCTGCGCTCTACTGCAGCGCATCAGTTATGTTTGCACAATACCACACCGATGGTTTCCATGCTCTCCTTCGCAAAAAGACAATATCCCTCATGAACAGACTGCGTGGACCAATGGTACTATTGAGACAGTAAATCATAGAGTAAACTCGCCAAACTTAATATATGGTGCACAGGGTGAATTAAAATTGCTTATTAAATCAAATTTGTTATAAATAAATCATCAATCGATGAAATAAATTACTATTGTGATATTATTTATTGAATTTAATTAAGCCAATTTTGTTATTGGATAAAGATTGATTGAGAGTATAAGTTGATAAGTATTTTGATTGTACTAACCAAATATGAACCTAAACGATTTTCGAAATAAATTATTATTATTATAGAACAGAATATCCTTCTTGTATTGTAAAAAATTATTTTGTTTATAAAAATTTTACCCTGTGATTATTTAGTTATTTTCACCCTTAAATCCCTAATTAATTTACCCAAACATAGTTTTAAGGAGCCTCATTAAATATAAATCAGTATTGAATAGTAATACTCGGTAATAAAGAATAAATTATAATCTCTTCAAATAGCATTCATCCAATTAGCTCACCATTCTTGAGCGAGAGTTTTTTTTTAAATATAATGCTTATGTCGTACGAATTAATAGGGAAGCCATCAATTAACGATCAGCTCATAATTAAAACGTCATCATGCGTAAAATGTAATTAATCAATGTAAAAACGCCTTAAAGCTTATCGTCATAAAGGTATTTATTTTGTCCGGAAATATTTGAGCCATTAAAAGCGCGTGAAATATTAAGTGTACCTATGTTGTTTGTTGTGTTTTTTACTTTTTTTAATAAGCACCGAATAAAAAATACCCTCTAAAAATTATCGTTGTATAAAAATATCAACTTCGAACACAAAGCCATCGTAACATTACCCGGTCATTCGATTGGTTCAAATCATTTGCTGCCTACAATAAAAAAGAGAAAACGACAATTAATTAAAGATAGGTATGTTTTAACAATACATCTCTGAGGTACCGGACTTTCGATTCCCGGACGGAGGTTCGACTATGGACGGGGCAATGTAGAAAATGAACTTTTCTATATTGTCTCGGGTCTGGGTGTTGTAGTACCTTCGTTGTCTCAGATACGCCATAATACGAGGGCTTTAGCTAGGTACTCATCTTGGAATCTGAGCAATGTGTGTGGTGTTGTCTAATATTTATTTAAAAAAAATTGTTTATATGAATTTTATTTTGATTTTCGTGGCCCCGTAACACAATTATTCTATGATTTACGAATTAAGCTAATCGTCAACAATAAAAAATTATATCTTTAGTAATTCAGTATATACAAAAGATGCACTATGAAAAATGTTTTATTCGTTAACCGAGCTGTCAGTGATTGTCGACACCAATAATCTAAAACAAGAGCCGCATTTCAAACTTACGGATCATCAAGATTTTTGGTCGTTGGTACTCGTAATATCCTAAACATTAGAATCCACATCTAAGCTAGCTTACTAAAGAACAACGATAGTCATAATCACGATTTTAAAAACTCGTCAATTTATATTTTTTAATAATTATTTACGCTTGGTAATCTAATCGCGTAAACGATCAATTGTCGCCGCCGCATCTACAGCGATGCGACGTTGCCATACTGCCGCACTGCGGCTATCGCCCGCGTTGAGCATGTGACATAACAAAATGGCTGCCGGTGTGGCGCGCCGCACGTCACGGTCACGATTCCCCTCCTGCGAAATGCGTACGGCGAGTCAAAGATAGACTAGGAGCTGAGTACTCAAAATCACTGTGGTATATTTTTACTATTATGAGGTCGAATAGAGAATATACTATTATAATAAAGGTTTTATTTTCATTCATACTGCCATATATATGTATGTTATTTAAAAAGAAAGAATGATTATTAATTATTAAAATAAATGATTCATATTAAATAACTCAAAATAGAAATATTTTTATTTCTGTAGTACGGACTACGCATCCTTTGTCATGCCAGTTTTAATATCTACATAATTTTAATTAACACGTTCTTCGCCACATAGGTCACCGGTGACCTCAAGGCAGACCTGTTTTGAAACCTGTGTCGTGAGCCATAGGGCACACATTTCATAGATTTTTTACACGCATGTGACCGCTGTGGCGCTGCAATACACCCGAACATAATGGTTTTTGGCTACCTTGACATCTTGTAGCATTCAAATCGAAAAATCTGCAATTCTCCGTGAAATATCCTATAGTTTGGATTTCTTGTGTTTCAATCAACACTTAATATTATTTCGCTATGAAAGTAGTTTAATATAGTTTATACATACATCTTTTATACATAAAAAAAAGTATTTTTTGACCACCAAATCATTTTTGAGAAAACTGTACGAGTTTTTCCGAAAATGTTTTGAAGGCCAAAATTGTAGAAAAGTTAATAATAACTGCGACTATTACGTAAGTTATGAATATATTTATTAGGAAATTAGTAAAATAGTATAGTAACTGCTAATTATACAAAAAACATCACTTCTTGTGGATCATATTAAAACACGGCAAACATAAGTGGGGTTTGTTTTCACATTCGTTGCAAAATGTTGAAACTTTTTTGTTTTGTTTCTGGCAGCTGTCGAACCGTGTAATCCAACATTTATTTTGTAACAGTTATTGTAAAAACGTCGCGTGTTTCTTACTGAACCTTTTTTCTTAGTAAGATTATGCTTTAACCGTTTTGGTCTCTCAATCTCTTCGACAGGGTTAGGTTCTGGCTTAGTCAAAAATGTGAAATCAATGTGATGTAGATCTTCTTGTGTTATGTCTAAATCTACGTCAAAGTCGTCAAAATCCATCATAGCGATTAAACATCAGCAGCGAGTATAGCAAAAACAAACAATAACGTGTGTGCCGTTTGAGCGCAGGTAAACGACTGCGGGGGCGGGTGGCCGGAGGGGTGACCTATCTGACGCCATAATAACGGAAACTCAAGTTTCTACATTATAGCGCCGCGTAGGGCACCAGTGACCTAGTGTTTTTTTTTTAGATTAATTCAATAACCATACATGCGATTGCGGCCTTATCTAGTCCTAAATCCGTATCTCAGTAAACTATATCAATAAACATTTAATAAAATATATGTAAATTTTGACTGTTCCACTATGGCGAAAAACGTGTTAAGACTAGAATTACTTGCTTTATGTATTTTTTATTTACTTGTTATTACTGTACAGTAATTTTGTGATTTATTTTTTACCAAATACAATAAAATCCTTTTTTAGGTCCTTATTTTATTTAAAGGGTGTAAACCTTAAAACTCATTAATTGACATCTCGTTTTTTTAAAAACTGCTTTTAAGCAAAAACAAACTTCAAATTAAACTAAAAAATCTTAATTTGGAAACCATAATCGGAATGATTTGAATTCGATAGCGAATTTATCTATTTTATGAAGTTGGTTTATTTTTTGTATTAATTATGTAAAAGGAAAAAACACGAATTCGCTTTGAAAAAAATAGTTTCTAATACGATGCACTAAGCGGTTTCTTAGTATTAAAATTTATTAAACAAATTGAAATTAAAATTTACTTTACTTCTGTTCTCAATATTAAAGATATAAATTTATAATTTTTAATACATACGAAATAAACGATAAATTAAATATAAAGTCTAGTTGAACTCCTAGTCTATAATGGAATCGGGAGTGGCGCAAGCTCCGTGCGATGCGGCAACAACGCGTCACCGATCGCATCGTGGCGTCGCTCGCACGTTCGCTCGCGCATTTAGTTCCATCGTAGTCGTGCCGCAAACCTTACGTTTGTTGTTTTAGAATATGTTAAAATTAAAAGCAGTTCAATATGTATACAAAATGTTCTTCCGCGAAAACTTACTACACTTTTATTGATCAATTGATACAAGATGTAAAAAAGCGACCAATGTTGTGGGAGAAACGTATACAACGTCGTACCCATAGAAACAAGGTTGCTAGAGAGTGGGAGTACCTAGGGAAATTATACAATAAACAGCGTAAGTACCAATCCTTCATACTGTATAGCTGTTCAAAGGAATTGAATAAACATAGCATTAAAACCGCGCTCGTCAACGCCGCTCCAGATTACAAATCTTTTATCTTTATAAACTAATGTATTAAGGTTCAGAATTGAATTTTACTTGAGACTGGAAATAAATTACAACTTCTACTCTTTATATATAGGTACTTTATGAGAACAATATACGTACTTTGCATAGCTTTGAAACAAATCTTCATGATTTAAAATTGTTTTACTTCATTATATTTTTGTAAATAGTGATATTTGTTCAATGAGCTGTTAATCATATCTACTACTGATTTAATATGTATAATAACTTATGAACTAGAAGCTAACACTTTCTTGTTTTTTTTAGTAGTTCGTAAAAAGGCTTTCCGAATATTGGACTCAGTCGCTTATATTGTTAATTAACAATATAACACAACTACTAAACACTTATTAACATGACAGTAATATCATTTTATGGTTCAAATCAGGAAACAATCATAGTTATGTGAATTTGTTTGAATCCGATAAGCTTAACACTTAATTTGAAAACTTAGCTTCTGGAAGGCTGTTTTAAAATATATTAATATACGTACCTACTCTTTAAAGTCAATTTTTAATCTCATCCGAAAATGACATATAGTAGGTAGGTATTCTGGTATTATGAACTTAACACTGGGATGTCATTTCGTTTTTATCAACCTTGATATGAACTTACCACGCAAACAGATATAAATATTTTTGATACAGAAAAATGTAAATGTAGCGTTTTCAATGCAAAATTAATTAAATATAATAATTATATATGATTCTTTTCATAATAGATTTGATATTTAAATTTATATATAAATAATTTCAAAGTCTAACAGAATATGTTTTCTGTTACAGCTTTAGAAGTGAAATCAAAATGGCGTAACATAAAAGATACATTCAACAGAGAAGCAAAAAAAATGAACGTACCTCCATTAGGGAAAAGAGATAAACCCTTAATAGAGTATTACGAGGGTCAGTGGCAGAATTTTGAAAAACTTCTTTTTCTTTGGGATGAAAAGAAGCATATGATGGCAGTAGACGATGAAAATATTCAAGATCAACAAGAGTTTATCGAAGTTGAAGAAAATAACACAAAGGTCAAAAATAATATTAAACATGAAACTTGCGATAGCGAAAACGAAACAGATGATGAAGATGGTACAGCAGATTATAATGATTCGACTGTTGAGACCGACAATATGCCAATACAGTCTTTATTTAATAGAGATACCCCAGATCCAATAGGGAATGAGGTTGATAATCTAAGAAAAAGACAATTTCAGCACGAAGATACAGAAACAATCACAATCAAAAGAAAACAAAGTGATCCAAATCAGAATGAGAAATGTGATTCCGACCTCGACGAAGATTTACACTTCGCTAAATCTTTAGTGCCGTTTATGAGAAAATTGAACCCAATAAGAAAATTGATAGTGAGAAACGAGATACATAGTTTACTATTAAACGAACTTTTATGTAATCGTTGTAAATCTACGGGGCCTCAACAAAATTGTCAGTGTAATTTAAAATGAATAATTATTTTTCGTTTCATAATGGAAAAAAAAGCAGAAGTGCGATGGTATTTACACATGCGAAGAATTTTTTCGCCAATCAAGCTTAATATCGAATTCAATGGAACTCAATATTGATATGGAATTCGATGAATAAAATAAAAACGTAAAACATTCTCGTAAATATTTAATAAATGACACTGAATATAGGTACCTATCTTAAGTTGTTCCTTTGAATACCAGTGAGTGCAAGTGTTGATTTTTCTCGGTGAACAAACAATTTCTTACTAAAGTTATTCAAATACTTTTATGTAAAATACTATAGAAAATTAAAATTTAATAATTTTAATAGAGTTTATCTGAATAAAATTAAAAAAAAACTTCAAATAAAAATATCCAATTTAAATTGGATAACTTCGACATATTATTGTGTCATCATTTGCTGATGATTTCCTACTAACAAATCATTCCCACTACCTAATAATATCCCCACGGCTGGAGCACAGGTCTTCCTTATGTACGGAATTGAATTGAATGGAATAAAATGGATATGTCATGACTCGTAACCCCATCACGCAGGCCTAATGCGGATTGGTTGCTACGACTGTATATGCAACTCGAATCCAACGACTTAACGTACCAATCGATGCAAGGAGCAGCTCGCTAAAAAAAAATTTTTGGTCACCCATCCTATGACCTGTCCTTGTGAAATTTTCTTAATCTTCGCATTGCGGAGTGGACGCACTAACCACTACGCCAGCGAGAACCTCTAAAAATTTACAATAATTAAAAGTAACGACACCATTTCTATTCATAAACTGGTAAAGGTAAATATAAAGCTCGGATGCTATAATATTTCATTCTACCATAACATATTTTAACATCTTATGCTATCAATATCACACACGGTTCAGATACTATAGTATATTTTTCATATCTTAAGATAACATATGAAATATATATTTCTGTATCGTTTGACATCTTAATTTACTTAATATTATATTATCTTTGTCGTGTGTGTTCGGTCATTGGATTGTACGGCAAGCGAGAGTTTATTTTAGCATATAATATTATAGTATCTTCACTGTATGTTACGAGCTTAATGGGAGTAACCCAGAAGCAAAATTAATCTTATAAATTCGTCTTTCCGTATGTATTAACAACAAAGTAAGAATCTTTTTGTATCATAATCATAAAAGAGTAAAAAAAAAACCTTTTGTTTTCTATGGAGTTGTTCGAAGTTAAACACAAATTGGTCGATTATTACTCGTAAACTTGTAAAGCCAACTTAAGTTTGATAGTTTTCCTTTTCACTTCGAATATAGGTGTTTGAATTTTTACCGTTTAGTTGGTAGAGGGGGGAGGGACACTTGACTCTAACGAAAATCACAAAAATAATAAATCTATAAAAAAAAAACAACAAATTAACACACTCACACACAGTAATGCGCCAGAAGTCTTTGGTAATACACAATTGATACACCAATATTTTCGGAGGTTTGAAATAAAAATGCTTTCTGATGTTTATTTAACGAATACAACAAATAGGAATATATTGACACGTTTAGGATCAATCATTTTTCGAATTGCTACATTTTCGTGCTTCGTTACATGTACCTTTTATCTTTGAAAAGATAGCGTTGATTTATTATTGTACCATAAATTATTTCGAAGCACACTGTTGTACTATCGGACCGATAAAATTGGGGCTTACGATGTAAAATTTACTACTTATGTGGTAAACAAGATTACGTTGTTTTGTCTACATCTAGATGTGTTCTAAGCTTTTAAACATTATTTTTAAGTTATAATTTTGAGTAAGCTGAAACATAATTCTTTTTTATAATTATATTATACGTATGTATGTGTAATCCGTTACTGTAACCAACTCCTAGGAATATATATAATTCTTAATATTTAAAATGCAAAATACTGAAAAATAGTTATTAATGTAAAGGCTTCAAAACTCCATTTTCTCTCTGGTATTCTAGATGGGACTCGAATCCGTGACCTTCCCAATCCGGGCGACTGCTCTAACCACTGAGCTATCCAGGACCTAACAGGACTGACGAATTTTTCACGCACTTGTTACTTTTTCGCTACTATACAGCGTATTTTCATCAATCCAATCAGTTCCGTCAATCCACCCAAACAGCCGAAAGAAATATTTTTTATAAATATTTAAACTTTCGATAAAGAAGATTTGTTCTAAAGCATTTTTCAAATAATATCTTTCAGCATAGCATTGTGAATGCAAAATTAATCAAACATAATAATTAGAACAAATTTTCATCTTTATTGAAAATTTAAATATTTACCGAGCCAATTCTTACAAACCGGGCCCTCCTTGCAGGATACCGGGTTTTTCCTTCCACGTGAGGAGAAACACAGCAGGGGGCCAATTCTACTAAATAAATTTTGTTTAAATCGAATCGAAAACGGATCGAAACCGAACGAAACTACAGTTTTTAATGGTTTTTCTATTCTACTAAGGAATTTTTATATTTATTCTTGCCAAGCTCTTTCATTTGATATCCTTATTGTATAAGTTGATTAAAAATAACTAGTCCACCATCTTAGATGGTCCGCCATATTGGATTTAGAATGACGTCATACACCTTATTGTGCATTGTCATCCAAACTAAACATGTAAACATTGTCATCCAAATTTCAGATCAATCGGTTAAAGATATTTTCTTCAAAATTGAATTCAAAGATTCCACCCAAATAAACACACACATTGTAAATTAAATAATCTTTGAAACAATATTATAATAACAAATTTTAACATTTCATAAATAACCTTGGAATTGTATACATTTCCTAGAAATTGTATACAAATCCTAGGCTTCACTGATACGATTGAGGTATCTACAGTGTGGGACAGTGTGGGCCCTACACATCAAAGTTTTTTTGCGTATTTGAACAAAAGCTTGTTTTTAATAACAAATATTAGTACGCTTCTGAAAAACGAATGAAATCATCATTGGCCAGTGGCTTCACCGCATATACTGCTGTCAAAATAAAATCCTAAATTAGCTGTCAGGCAGTAGGCTGACAAATCAACTGTCACGATAACTGGATCATCACCGTCTTTCATTTATTTCATTTTCATTTTACGCGAAGTAATTAATTTATTTACTTAACATTAGCAGAATTGTGCGAAATGCGCAGATAAGTTATTAATAAAAGAAGAAAAAAAAATTTTACGTTCAAATCTCACATGAAAATGCCAAAATGAAGACCTGACAGTTTATCTATCAGTCTGACAGATCATCAGTTTATTTTGATATTGTCAAATCAATCAGGACGTCAAGTTACGTGGTATAACCGTCGGCCTGCCCTTCCTCTTTTCGATATGTTGTCATTAAATGAATAGGGGTTAAAGTATGAAATTACCGATTTGTACAGAATATCTAAATTGATTTTATTTGTAAATAATATACATCACATCACTTATATCTAAATTCTAAGATATTTACTCTTTGCCAGTCCCGATAAGAGAACCAGATTATCAACCAGCAAAACACGAACACGCGAATATGAACACAGAAAAAGTAATAATTCAAAATATCATCGGCCAGCATTGACCATAATGCGTCCGGAGAGTAAACCTACTTATAGTAATGTGCACGGACGTTACAGTACTGAGGTAGCTGTCGCAGCTCTGAAACATCCAGGTCTTGGATTGTCGCGAAGGTTGGGTGTAGGGCAGTCCAAGGACTGGGATCCAGCTTGCTGACCAAAACGCGGATCCCACTCAAAGTCCTTGTGCACCCCACCAGTAGGGTGCACAAGGACTTTGAGTGGGATCCGCGTTTTGGTCGGAGGGATCCGTGCGATTAGAGATTCCCAGATATCGGTGCCGCAGGACCGCATGACGGGACAACACATAAAGCATTCCTTTGACAAAAAAAACTCCCGGAACGTCTCCTCCAGGAAAAGGTGATCGGAGAGATTTATAGCTAAACGATTTATATATATTTACTTTTGTTTATTTTTCTTAATAGATAGCTTAAATTATAATAAATATGAAGTGAAATAGTGAATTATGAAGTGTCTGTAGCACAGCCGACGAGCGGTAGCCGCTGCAATACTTGCATTATTATAAACCAAAGTTTTGCTGCACTTGTACGTTGAACGTTAGAAATTAAAAATGTTGTAAATAAAAATAAAACTTTTGGAATGTATTTTAGCCTAAATGTGCACTTTTTACCATTTTATTGATTTTATGTCCCTTGTTACTGTGCAAGAATAGCTATCGTAGCACACACATTTGAACACGTGATAATTATCTTCAAACTTCCATATAAATTCCAGGTGACAGGAACGATCTGGACCCGGTGGCTTCCTTGCACCCCAGAGGGTCTTCGCAGCGGGTTTTCGGCCGACCTCCTTAAGCCTGTCCTTTTCAGGACGGGTGTGGGGTCGGAGAGCACTGGTTTAAGCCTTAAGGTTGCATTTCCCGTGCGTTAAAAATAAAAAGAGGGTGACAGAGACAATAAATCACGATGACAAAAATTAGTCCGCTTGTTCTCTTCCGTCTAGAGTCAATCAAATTATTAATAAAATGTGATCCTATTTTATTTTAAAACTAAGTAATAAAATTTACTTCAATATTTAGAATGAATAATGCATTGCCTTCATATTATTTAGCTTTTTTCTTGTAGTATCTACGTTTCAAAATTTTTAATTTCATTTTTTAAACCGTCAACTTGTAAACGAACGAAAATTACTTTATATGACGTCATTGTTTCGTGACAGAAATGTTTAGAAAACTATAACACCATCTAGTGCCATTTATTTTGGTAATTATTTTTTCTCATTCTCCAATGGGTAGAGTACTTCACGAGAAGGAAGATTATAGAAATAAAGAAGACATGTAGGTTCTACGATGAATACTAAACAATATCAAGTGTAATTGGAAATTGCCTTTGAATATTGAATCGCCGTCGGCCATTCAACAAACACCAGCCAGCATTAGAACAAATGTTTGTTCATCATTAGTCTAAATGTTGTTCATTATTGACATTTTAGTCGTTTGTTTTACACGACCATCGACGGAGTCATCATCATTATAAAATAACTGAACTGTACAAACAAGTATTTACATTTCACATCATTTATTCTGTTATTAATTTCTTATACTAGTTCTACTTATGACTGTAATATAAAAATCACTGTCTTTAGAGAAGTGCCAATTTTGTATTAGTTTTCAAACTTAAATATTGTCCGGATAGGATTTCTAAACATAGTCGTGATTATTTTTTTATCATTTTATTCTCACGTAATGTGGGATGAATACACAGATATTGGCAACCGTCAGACATCTTCGTAATGCAAAACAGAACAAATAAATCATCGCCCATCTAAAAAAAAACCTCTTAATAATAATTTGATAAATTTCAAATATTCTCAAAATAATATTTCCTGAATAATAGCATTCTACCGTTTAACGTGTTGAAAACAATCACAGTTCTACTATTTTGTCATAAAAATATAATTGGGGTACTAAAACTCGCATAGTTTTGTATTTACATAAACTATTTCGACCTCCGTTGTTAAGGAATGAATA